GTGAATAAAATGGCCAAATGATTCAGATTGAAACATGAACTGATTTAGACTGAATAGCTAATTGTTCAGACTGAACCATGAACTTATTCTGACTAGATCTCAAAGCAGTTCAGACTGGATCATAGTTTGATTCGATATGAATCACACTGATTTAGGCTAAATTGCAAACTGATTCGGACTGATACTAACACCTTTTGGACTGAATCACACAATGATTAAATGAATCAACATCAAATTAATTCACAAACGGATTCAGACCTATTTGGTTACACGTTTAATTTATGGAAAAGAACAGTTTCAAAAGAATTATTCATTCACAAATCAGACCTCAGTTGTTTTGATTCTAAACAGCAGTCTTACAGAGGGAGTCAGTGCATGGGTGAACTGTCCAAATGATTCAGATTCAGCCATGACCTGACTGCCAACAGTTTCAGAATTAACCATGACAAACTGGTTTACTCTGAATCTCGATCTGATTCAGAATCTTGAACTGATTTGGGCTGAATAACAAAGTGATTTGGGCTGAACAACAAAGCGATTCAGGCTCTAAATCATGAGCCGATTCGGGCTGAATCACAAACTGATTGAACTGAATCATGAACGATACAGAATGAACCATAAACTGATTTGGCTGGAATCGCAATTAGTTTCAGACTAAATCATGAAACTATTAGGGCTGAACCACAAATTAATTCATAATGATTTGGTCTAAGTCCCAAACGGATTCAAAGTGAATCACAAACCGATTCAGACCTATTTGCTTACTCATCTGACAAATTCATTGAAAAGAGCTGGCTTATAAGAAATCAGACCTCGCTAGTTCAGTTTCTAAACAGCTGACAGAAAATACCGCACACCAGATTTGATTTCTGAAGTACTTCCAGGAAAAATGTGATGTGAAAATGCCCTTAGAGTCTGTCTTTCACCAGACGCATTTAGTGAGAGGATCTGTCCATGTTCTCGCTGCTTAAGAGAGAGCCATTGTGACAGATACCGTCAGACTTGGCAGCTTCTGGTCTTGTATTTACCACGTT